TGGCTTGGAGATAAAAAAAAAAAAGAGTCAAGGAAAGCTAAGGAAAGGATAAAAATGAACAAAGAACATGGAAGGTGATTCAAAAGAAAACAGCAACATGGTAAGAATTAAACAAATTAGAAACAGAAAGATGGTAAGAAATTAACAATGCAGATAATGATGTTAAATGTAGATTTTCTAAACATTTCAATTAAAGGTAGATATTTTAAGATTGGTTTTTAGGGGCGCCTGGGCGGCTCAGTCAGTTAAGCATCCGACTTCAGCTCAGGTCATGATCCTGCAGTTCATGACTTTGAGACCAGCGTTGGGCTCTGTGCTGACAGCTCAGAGCCTGAAGCCTGCTTCGGATTCTGTGTCTCCCTCTCTCTTTGCGCTCGCTCCCTCTCTCTCTTTCACAAAAATAAATAAACATTAAAAAAATGTTAAAGGTAGATATTTTAAGATTGGATTTTAAAAGACAACTATGTGCAATCTACAAGGAACACATTGTAAATATAAAGACACAGGGTACTCAAGGATGTAATGTACAGCGTGGCGACTGTAGTTAATACTGTACTGTATATTTGAAAGTTGCTAAGAGAGTAAATCTTAAAAGTTCTCATCACAAGGAAAAGAATTCTGTATATAATATGGTAATATATGTAACTAGACTTAATATTATCATTTTGCTATATATACAAATATCAAATAATTATGTTGTACACCTGAAACCAATATGCTGCATGTCAACTATACCTCAATAAAAAAATAAAAAATTTAGAAACTTCAAGGATGGAAATAATATACTCTGCTTACCCTTATCTTTTTAAAAAAAGTTGAAGAACTTATATTAATATCAGACAAAATGGAGTTCAAGACAAGAATTATTACCAGGGCTAAGGAGGGAATGTCATAATGATAAAAGAGTAAATTAATAAAGACTATATACAAATGCTACATGTGTACACACCAAAAAAACAAAGCTTCAAAATTCATTTAGCAAAAATTGGCAAAACTGAAAGGAGATAAAGCAAATGCCCAAATATATTTGGGGATGTCAACACTCTCAAATCAGTATCAACAGAACAAGAAGACATGAATGAATTCATTAAGATATAGAGGACTTGATCAACACTATCAATGAAGTAGCTTTGATATTTATAAGACACTGTGTACAATGATTGCAAAAGACACATTTTTTCTTTATTTTCAATTAATTTTTTTAATTACGGTAGAATTGACATACAGTGTTATTTTAGTTTTCGTGTACAGTATAGTGATTCAACAATTCTATACATTACTCAGTGC